AGTCGGATGGAAAAAGAAGGGAAAGGGGTGGAAGAGGCTGGCTCGAGCCAGCCAGCCGAGGTGTTGGCGGATGATGTTACGGTGGATGCCCGAAAATTGAATTCGTCGGAACGCGAAACGCGGTTTGATTAAGTGCTTTCGTCAGGTAGCCGAGCCGTATCGTGCCCGATAACGTTATCGTTCTCAATTTTTGCTCGCGAGAGTCCGACTTTCCATTTCTTTTTTTTTTCGCGTCGGGTCCATTCACGTAAACTGATTCATTTAATCGTCTCTCAATCGTGCTTTTCTTTAATTGCGGCATTTTTCTTATTCGTGCACGATACAAAATTCTCTCTGTACGTCGGGTCGAGAAATTTTTGCATCCGGAAGATACGACGTGCACACGTTTTGCTTTCGCACGGTGATTCCCTTGCTAAGCTCCGATAAGCAAAGCTGGCGAGAGCAACGCATAGAAATTTCTTTACGACTGAACAGACAAGGTAACATTAGCAGGCGATTATATCGAATCGATGCACCACACGCATATCTAATTGCACAAATATATATTCGATAGGAGGTTGGGTTACCTTGCTGGAGTGCTGAGCTAGCGCAAATAGTGAATTTAAACAATTTTTTTCTTTCAAAATTGGTTCTAGGACCCGTGAAAAATACCGAGCGTCGAAAATACCGCAAAAATTGCGAATAAGTCATATTTTATAAACCAGTAACTACACATATTTTTATGATGAATCGCACGCGCGGGGATTCGAGCGATATTTCGAAAGAAAGAAAAAGTTGCATTCTCATACAATACATATATATTGTCGATTCGCAGAATATAAATTCATCGTTTTTTATCCGACATATTGAGTAATAATATTTGTGTTAAAGTAGTAAACGGCGTATTAGAAGTGACATCAGGAATACTTTTAAATTATGATAGGTTGGTAAAACATCGACATGTATATGTGTGTATATACTTGCAAAAAATCAGCTGAAATTAGCAAACAAAAGCCAAAACGCGATGTGCCTGAGGCCGCATAATTTACGAAAGAAATTGAATGCAGCGAGAGAATGAAGCGGAGGAGAGAAAAGCAAAGAGAGGAGGGAGGCGAGTATCATAACCGCGTTGATAAAATGCCGGATATGTTCGACGTATGCGCGTAACTTCCAAAATAATGGAAAAAAGCAAGAGAAATATCCTGGACGGTTTATCCGACTCCGCTGCGATTTCGCGAGAGCGAATATTCCGCGAAAAAATATCGTCGCGCTTAATCCGCGATCATAGCTACGTGCCGGCCCCGATACCATGCCTACGCCGAATTTGTATCAAATACAGAGGAGTGGAATACAGGAAGTTTTTCACTGACGGCTGCGTGCATAATTCAAGTGACGTGAATACTCACGATTTGATATCTAAGCGCGTCCTACTTTCGCAAATCGAACGTCACGAAGAAATTGTTTGAAAACGATCCCCTAAAAATTTCGCTAAACATTTAACAAGTGAAAAGATTCATTAAATATCCAAATAATATTTTTAAAAGAAAATGAGTGAAGAGGAGAGGGGTTTTAGGTCTCGTATATTTTTAAACGCGCTTACTCTAATTTAACATCTTTAGTTTCTTCATCTTTTTGCATGACGCGCCATTTTTATATACATTTTATTTTCCTCTATTTCTCGACGTGTGGCACTTATACAAATTTTCCTTTCTATTGCAGTTCCACCGGAGCAGCCAACCATCTTGGATCGGTGGGGTCGCATCTTGAACGGCACAGCTGGCCCTTACGAGGAAGGCGATGCACCGTATCTCACGTGTCGCGTCACGGGCGGTAAGCTGGCACAAAATACAGTAATATAATATGTATGCGCTGAGAAACGTTTATCTGCATCCCCGCTAACTGCGCTCCCAACACATCTGCACTCGGTTACATAGGGTGTCTCAAACGCAGCGAGCCAAACTTTTCGTTTAAGGGCTCTTTGATCGATTTTAAAGCGACTATTTTTTTAAAAAAGGCTAAATTATACAATAGTCTTTAATTAAAAATATGATTGAAAATATTAGAAGAGAACCTTTTATACGATTAACATTTAATATACGCGATGGAAGAGATAACGTATGCGCGCGGATACATTTCATCTAGGAAGAGAATTCTTTCCCGTTCAATCCATCTCGAGAAGAGCTCTGTCTCTCCCGTCGAATCCCCTTTCCAAGTCACACACGGCGCATTTTCGAAAGGTCGTCGCTCGCGGCAACCTCACCGCGAAATCGTTTGCGGAAACTTCGATCGCGCGGTCGGAGTCGTTGGTGTCGCCGGTTATTAGATCAGCCAACTTTTTATCGGCCGTCGTGGCTAAGTGAAAAGTTCAGCGAGACTCTCGGTCGCTTTCTACTCCCCCGAGTGCGGGAGAAGTCCCGGCCTGCGATGGATGGAGCGGCGGAGAGGACGCGCGAAGGGAAAAAGGGGAGCACTTGCCGCTGTTTACTTTAGCAACTGGATCTAAATTTCTGTTTATAACTGCGACGCAACTTCTTCGACGGGCCTTAAAAGATTATTTCCAACCCTCCCTTTTCGTTTTCAACCCTGCTTGCGTGCCGCCTCGCCTTCAATGCCGTCGCTCTGTCTGACGGAGGAGAGGCATTCGTCGAGCTTTCGGCATGATTAAGCATCGCGCTCCTTTCGATTTGCTCGCGCCACTGTCGTTCTCAGGACTGGAAATACTGGGGCAGAGGTGGAGAAACGTCGTTGAGGATCTTAAGTCGCGTCCCGGCAAAATTTTCGGCAAACTCGACTCGCGCATCCGCATCCGTTTTGAATATTCATTGCCGCTCTGTCGTTGTGCGTCTCTCTTTCTACTCTCATCGTTATTTAATTGTTTCAATCAAGAACTTGTATAAACGTAGATTCGAGAATGCAGCGCATTATAATTTGAGGATTTGCAAATTAATTACGATTAAGAATTTATTACTCGCCGTCTTTGCTGAAAGAGAGAGAGAGAGAGAGAGAGAGAGAGAGAGAGAGAGAGAGAGAGAAAGAGCACTCTGTTCATATAAATTGACAACGCGTTAAGCATTTTAAAGGAATGTTTTTAGTCGTAGATATTCGACAGTAAAAAATAAATAAAATCGTTATGATTTGGACCGCTCTGGAGACGTGCTGGGGATTTCGTCTCTCCGTGACAATCGGCACTGCATCCATTGAGCGAGATTCCAACATCGCTCTGGAGTCGTATGTACTGTGTTAGAGTGGCGTAAGGTGCGAGGTCTGAATAGCTCAGTGGTAAGAGCAGTTGCCCGGAAAGCGAAAGACTCGGGTTCGATTCCCGATTCAGCCACTTGTACCTCGCATATTTTTTCAGACCCGCAAATGTTGTTTTCTAACAATTATTTGTCGGGCTGAGGAAGTGTGTAAACGCCCTACACAGACACGACAGTGCCGCTGCCACGGAAGAGATGGATGCTTGGTTCGTGCCTCCTCCCGCCTTAAATCCCCCCCTCGCAAAAAATTGTTTAATTCGCGATAACTTTATCATACGGTAACGTTATTCTGACTGTTACGTCACATTTACATGAATAATTATCACGAACCATGCTTAAACGCTGCGTTTTTATGTTTATTATATGGCTTGATCGTCCCAAGCACGCGAAACAAAACTCGATTCTTTCCACGAAATGCACAAATATGTTGAATCGATGTAATCTGTCAACGGCAAATTCCTATCGAATCGTTCGTTCATCGGTGAACAGCGTTATACATCACGATATCGTCCATCCTTCCTGTACGTTTGTTAAAAGCGAAATAAAAAGGATAGAGAGAGAGAGAGAGAGAAAAAAAAAGATATAGGAGGCTTCGTTACTACGAGAGGAGATAAATCCCGTTGTTAGAATCGCTTGGTTCTCGAACAATCATATTAGTCATCGTTGCCAAATGCCGGGCAATGGATAACGGCGATTCGCGATGTGCCCTTGTTCATCGGCGAGTCCTGTTTCGATGGATATATATCGAAATATACGAATCTGGGAATATTGCCGTATGCAGATTCAATGGGAATTGCATTCGCGTTGCGCATCGATCAAACGCACTGCGGCGTATAAATTGAATATCGAGAAGATCGGCTTATCCTTAACAATACGTTTGACGTCGCATCAAAGATTCTTTCGCCGATGTATGAATCCGCCGTTTTAATTTAATTATAAATAACGCTTACGAAAAAAGATAAAGAGAGAGAGAGAGAGAGAGATTTTTTATCTCTTTTCCATTTTTAATCGTTCGAGTTCGCTAGCAGAATCCACGACTCGATTCGTGGCTGCGACGTAGAATGCGACGTGGACATATAATACGAGCATTAAATGTCAAGCGAAGTCTCTTGCCAGGCAGAGAGAACAAAGCGCGCAAGTGAAGAGAAAAAGGGAGAGAAAGAGAGAGAAAGAGATAGAGAGAGAGAAAGGGGTCGCGTGTTTTTATTTAAAATTATAAAAGCTCGCGCTTGTTAAAACGATCGGGATGACGTACCCGGTTGTAAGTGACAGGCTGACACGTGATATTCCGCTCCGCGGGGATCTTTTTTGCGCGAACGAACGTGCGTAATTCGCGTAGTTATCAAAACGCCGAAAACAGATACGCGCGGCGGAGGAAGGAGGGACATCATCATAGCCGGCATACACTTATGTAAGGGAATTTTATATACGTATATATTTTGCCTTTCTCTCGTAATGAGGTGCGCACGTTCGAGCTGCATTATCGAATTTTACGAAAGTTACGGTTTCAATGCATTTCCGCCCGCGGCGGCCGTTATTTCCGCCGCTTGTTATCTTTTACACGCATTTATCCGAGAACCGCGGATTCGCGCCAGAAAATTGTGCCGGGGAGAATTCGCGCAAAACCTGCGTCTCGGATACGCCCCGGACGGTCGGTCTAATCTTCATAAAGCGAATGCAACCGCCGCAACCAGCCGCGACGAGAAATCCGAAAATAGGAGAGCCGCGTCTGCGTCTCTCTCTCTCTCTCTCTCTCTCTCTCTCACGCGCGCAATTCCCCTCGTTTTGTAAAAACGGCGCCGTGTGCCGCGTAATTAAGCGGCGCGCAATGTCGACGTTGATGTAATAAAAATGAGAATTTAATATCGCGCTCATCATTCTCGAGTTTGCCGCCGCGTTTACCATCTAAACGGATCGATCGATGGTAAAATGCTACGTGCTGCGCGTACGTAAATAAGATTTTTAATAAGTCGCGCGAATATTTACACGCGGTCCCTTTGACGTCAAAAAGACATTAACAATCGTTACTCGTTTTAATTTATACGTAAATTAGTCGCGTAAGCAGTTTTAAAAGTCAATTTCTGCCGCGGTATTCTTCCTCGTGGTTTTTTTTTTTTTTCTTCCAAAATGAACGGAAAGAACCATGCAAGAGAATCGAGCCTCGATTACACACTTCTCTTCCAAGTACTCTCTTACACGCGACTTACAAGTAAGCCTAACCCTCTCACACGGGATATAATCCGCGTTATCTATAATTTATGACAATGCCGGTGAGAAAATTTTACGACTCGCTTCGCGCCCAGAGAGAATTTATTGCCAATTACTTGACTTCGTGCCCGGAAAGAATCGAGGGTCCCTCTACGAGGATGTATACGCGCATGGAGGACTCTTTCGCCCTCCTTCTCGCCGCATACGCGGGGAAAATTTCCGCTCCCCCTTCTCTCTCTCTCTCTCTCTCTCATTTCATACAGATTCCGATATCGCGAGTTGATCACCGTCGATAGCGACCCTCGAATTCATTCAAGCAGGATGCAACCTCGGTCGCACCTCGAATCACTCGTCAAAAATGGAGAAACGATTATCGACGTGCGAGGGAGACGAATGATGTCAAGGACCCTCGCACAGTTGTAAAAAGAAAGTAGCAGTCTCCCTTCGCACAAATAGGAGGAAGAAATAATTTTGCCATTGATGGGGCCCGTGGGAGAGTGAGAGAAACAGCACTTTGGGATACGATACTCGGATCGACGGAGTATCCACATTAATCCCGGCGACAAGCGCGTGACGAAAATCGAGATGTTGGATTTGATTTCGGAGGACCGGTGTTTTTATAGCGACGCACTACAATTAAATGCAAATTCCACGCCGTCGAGTATGCAATTTTCCACGTGTCTAACAAGAATATTAATACCGGGGCGGATTTCATCGATGGAAAAATTATTTTCAAATATATAATATTTTAAAATATATTTATAATACTTTTCTCTTTTTTTGTTATAATAAGCTTTGCGTTTTTACATCGCGCTTTTTATCGTCGACATCATCTGAACACAATTATGCAATATCCCCAGAAATTACAATTTTATGTCGCGTAATAATAATTGCAAATAATTGCTCGATCATTCGAGATTTTTTTATAAAATGTAATAATCATCCAAACCAATATATATTCTCGATGTGAAAAATTTATCTTAAAAATTAAATTGCGTGAAGTAATTTAAAAGAGAGAAGTAAAAAGTAGTTTACAGGTAGCGATGGTTTCATGTGTAAACGCGTAGGAAAAACGTCAAAATCAATGACAATTAGGTAGGTTTATTTTGTTTGCGCTTTTTACACTCACTCAGATTCTTTGCTCTCTCTTTCTTCAAGAATATATATTCACGAAAAAGCAAAACTTTAGAGTTTTTGCAGACAAAATTGCACAGACATAATGCATATGTATAGAGAAATTAATCAATATATGGAATGTCATATTGCTATCTTCTTTGTACTAGACGAGTCATATCATTAGATATGAAAATATCATCTAGAAATATAAGGAGAGAGAAGAAATACGAGGAAATATAAAACTGCAAA